AATTTATATTAGTCATATCTATATTTTGAAGATATGTATGATTTAGATAATAGCATATAAAAAAAATAAAAAAAAACCAATCTACCGGATCTTCTCCCCATTCTCTAATAGTATGACTAACATATCCAGCGCTACTCAACCAACGGCACAACCTTTTTAATCCATCTATTCCGGTCACAGATTTTCCATCAGCGGTTGCAGGATTCGGCACTGCCCTAACAATCGTATAGCTGAGATTCTCGAATGCTTTAACGGCAGATTCAATCCTTTTCTCATAAGCATCCAAAATTTCAGCTTGAATATCAACAAGAAATCGTATACGATTATGGAACATTGGTAATAATTTATACCGGCCTGAATAAAAAACACATCATTAATTAAAATTTTTTAGAATTTTGAAAATTCATATTAAAAAAAATATACTTGTGACAAGTTCTAATAGTTCCATAATTTTCGCTGCAGATTTAGTTGGTTGAAGATCTTCGTCAATAGTTTCTTCATCCTCAATTTCCCATGCATCTTCCGCGTGCATTATCTCATTATAGCGCATCTCGGCAACTATCAAGTAAATATAGATTATTTAAGTCGAATGATATAATTTTATCAAATAAACTACAAAACTTATTCTTACATTCTTTCTCAATTTTAAGCCAAGCCTTAAATATTTCTTTTCGTCCAGTGAAGACTTCTACACATCCATTCCATTGCTTTTTTCCTGGGGGTAGATATAAATGCACGGTTCTAATCACTTGATCAAATTGTAGAGTTTCAAATACTGTGTGAGAAAAATTTTGAGGGGAATTGACCAAAGCATTCACGCTTTGATTCAGTTTTCGAGTTACTGCGGTAAGTAAACAACGTATAAAGTCATCCTGTTATCATTATAAATAAAATTAAAAAAAATCCATTTATTTTAGAAAGTAATCAATTATTGAATTGATAAAAAGCTACTTTTGCATTATATTTATTAAATCCAGCTTCATCAATAATAACTTGCACTTCTTCTGTCAAGAAAGGAGAATGGTCGTGTATAGCTGTGAGGATATGTGTAAAATACCATTCCGGCTAAATCGAATTAAATAATATAGTTAGAGATTGATTTTTATAAAAACAAACAAGTTAAATTATCATGGGCAAACCTTATCAATTCGATTAGTCGGTCTTTTCGTATCAAAATGATATCTGAACCTTGTTATTAAAGGTTCGGCCATCAATTGTATTGGAAATAACGGAACGAGTTCACTTGTAACGATTTTATCAGAATCCTCTACTCCAGTCGGATTCTGCAACAACAATAATTCGCAAAAAGCTCTTGTAAAAGCTGTCTTCTTTTCCTGTAGCTCATTAGGTAATGGAACTTTTAACGGTGTTGGCCATCCCAATGAATCTAATGTGTGTTGAAATTTCCTAGCAATGGAGAATATTATATGTAAAATTTACAAATAAAATAAAGATGATTAAGAACAAAATACAGTTACTTGAAATTGTTATTCACTTTGAAAGTTTACTTTTCATGTCCTCCCAAAGTGCATCCAAATTTTTTCTTATAAATCCATCAAGATTTTTCAAAATCTGATAATCACTATCAGATCGAATTTTACGCGCAATATGAGCAAGTTGCGTATATGGCACTAGCGCCTTCTGAGATGATTTCTCTACTAATTGCTTTGCCTCGGTACTAAACAAGGAAAGAAATTAATATATAAATAAATTTAAAATTTTAGAGATAATTCTAAAGTCCGTCATATAATCAAACCTAATTTTTGCTTCTGTTCACCTCAATTCATCCGCAATAACAAGAATATTTAAATATTGCTTGGCTCGCAACAGATTTTCCACATTCTTTTGCAAGATGATCAAGTCGCTCACCAACTGTTTGTTGCTAATTACTTCTGATTCGATCGACTCATTACCGTGATCTTTCAATCCAATGGAAATTTGATGTTCTGTTAGAGCATCCTCCAACTCTAGACGCGTCGCTTGAAGGTTTTCAAGTTGCGACTCGGTAACTTTCAAGTATCCAAGTGAACTATTTAACGTTGTTGAAGTTTCGGCTTTTATCGTAGATGACTTTAGTAAAAATTTAAGTGTGCGTCAGAAATATACATCAGTAGCTTAAGGTTTGTTTCTCGGTACCACTCACTTTTTCAATTAAATTTTGCTGTCTGGTTTCCACTAGTGTTAAGATAGAATCTAATTGCTCTAGATCTTCCAGCTCTACGAAATGAGTGTTTAAGAAGTCTACTAAGTGATTTTCGGTCACTACTTCGTCCGCTTTTCGAAGTAAAAATTCAATACCTTTGGAAGACATTTTACAAAGGAATTTAAAATTGACCAAACAATATGGAAAGACGTTATCAAATCATCATTCAGCAGCCAATAAGAATGCATGAATTTATCAGCCAGCAAAAACAAATTCAACATAAAAAAATGAAAAGTTAAAGCAATTTATGTATAATCTCGATCTCAACTCTAACACCTTAAAATTGATTCCATTACTTTGAAAAATGAACTTTGGATCTAAAGATGGATATTATACAAAATAAAAATGATATATTGAATCAACTTAGATCTGATTTGCAAGACAAGATAAAATAATCAATACAATAAAATTTTATACATAATGAAACAGTTTCTTATTCACCATCCGAAAATTTAGTATTCCAAGTGCTAAGAATCATTATAAGGTTAGCCCAACATATGAAATCTACCATTAATATGCTTATTCTATGAAAAAAGATCCCTTGATCGATTCAATAAATTTTGCTCTTCAAAGATGCCACTTAAAAAAGAAGTATAGTAATACAAACCAAATTAAAAAAATTATTATATCAAATACATTCATTGTCTCTGATAAAAATATCCGAACCAAAATAAATTAATTAATTTCTAATCTGTATTACTCCGTATAAGATTCAACACCTCCTCTTCATCAGAACTTTCATCACTCCCAAGATCCTCATGTTCAAATAGACTAACGTCCACCGTGACATCACCTTCCTCCATAAACGTAACATCAGATTTAGCAAGTGTTTCATCCTGTTCGAATAATTGTCGACCTGTCGGTTTCAATTTTTTTGCCTCCTCACGTTTATACGCAGCAGCGCCTTTTTCCATGCGCTCTTTCTCAGCTTTTTCTTTATTGAATTTTTCTCGCCATTCCAGAAATGCCGCTACTGTCACCCTTGTACCTTGGAATCGTGCTTGTTCCTCCTAATAATACAAATTTTACAAATTTTATTTATAACGATAAATTGTCATAGAATGTAATATAAAATATCAAAGTAAAAATCAAATTAACCTCAATCTCTCTTCTAACCCTATTCTCTTCATCTTGTCGTCTCTTTTCTTTATTATCTATCACCAAATTTGTCAATTCATCTTTTAAAAGTGAGGCC